TCTTAAGTTCAGCAAACCAAAAGTCCCTTTCACATGCCTTACATTTCTCTGCACCCCACTCACAAATTGCTGTCTTTGGTCAGTGAAGACCCAGAGTTCAGAGGTATATCTACAGTGTACCTCTTTAAGTAAGAGTTAAAGACACACTTTATTTGCTCCACTGCTTGGGCTCTCTCTCACCACGCCTCTCTACCAGCCACCCTGCTGGCTGCCTTTCTTACCACTCGTGTCAAGCATCTCTACCAGCTGCCCTGCTGACCACTCATCTCGCCACTCCACCTCATCAGCCACCCGTTCACCAGCTGGTTGTCAGTTGCCTTCTGCTGCCACCTGCCTCTCTGCTGTGACCCCCTGCACGTCAGTGTCTTAGTAATTTTCAAATCTTTGCAGGCTGAGCAGAAACACTGCCACATGGCAAGTGATTTTGGCTAGGATTCTTACCAGAAACAGAGTCTTATCACAACTGATTTCAGCTGTTTGAGCATTTAACGTAACAAATGCTCCTAATTACCGGTAAGTCTTTTAGCTCTGTTCTTTGAACATCAGGGAAGAAAAGGTTGAACCAGTGTAGGGAGGACCCTTGGTGAGAGTGTGCTGTGCCCTGGCTGGGATACCTGTCCACACTTTTCTTACTCTCACAGGACTCTGACATTCAAACCCCTGGCTTAACAAGGTTCTTTCAAATGAGGTTGTTCCCCCTCATTTGAGACAGGTTAAGCACTGTTCTGCTTCTCTGCATTCCCACAATAATTTTACAACATTGGTAACCCTATTTCATTACCCCTGCATTCAATACTAAGATGATTTGTACCCAATACTAGCTAAGGTTGATCTTTTTTACCACTGCATCTGCTGAATATGTAAGCAGAGCAGGAGAAATCTGTATTTACATAAACACACTCAAGTCTCTCTGGCTCCCAGTGTTGATTGGTGTGTCTGGCCAAAGGAGAACCAGTTTAGAGAAATGTCCCCCTACCTACATCTATCATTGGGATTTGCTCTTAAACCCTTAAAATAAAACTGACTAAAGTGTGGGTGCGAACAAACAAGACATTTATTAAACCATCAACAGTTCTGAAATGAGGTAAAACAAAGGTAAACTAGGGAACCAGAAGCACAGATATAGCAAGGACCTCCACAACCAAAGGTAAATGACAGGTTAGATGGTATACTGACTGACCCAGTTGAGTTCCTTGTCCTAGGACAGGGCTCAGGTAAAGAAATGGAGGCTCAGAAGACAACTACCATGTCTTGCAGTTTGAGGACTCTCATGACAATGGGACAGTTCCAGATTAATTTCCAAGTGGTATTGATAGGTAAAGAGTGGACATCTGGATCAGGCGATATTAGCTCTGCTCTGGCGATGGCTTGGCTCTCTCTCCCTGTGACATGGTGGGCAAGTGTTAGTCCTCAGATAAAAGGATAACAGCTGGCAACACAGCCTTTGTGTGCAGGTAAGACCACCCTTCTGCAACCAGATCTGTACATGTGGTGCCATGCATACACGTCTAAACAGCTGAAGACCTGAGATGATCACAGCACTTTCCAATGATAACGCTAGCAACACCTCCAGATTCTACCACACAGAAGGGAAGCCCCTAGAATTGGCACGGCAGTCCTTAAACAGCCTGTGGTTGCTGAGCAAATCTCTGGTCACATGCTTTACTGTATTTTCCCATCAAAGGCCAGAAAGAAGGAAAGTGCTCTTAGGGGAGGAAGGGAAAATGCAGCCAAGATGGAGTCCAGGTTGTTGTTTGGACATTCCAAGATGGCGCAATTATGATGTTAAGCACCAATGTTTTCCCTCCTAAACCAGCTAGCTGTTAGTGAAACATTCATTCAGACTCCGTTTAATTATACAGAGTAAATATCAGCCTGAAGGAACCCAGGGCTTGCTCCTCAGACCTTACATGGTTGACTTCATTAGGCATTCAAAGGGAATCCAGGATCAGGCCCATAATTGGAACTTACCATCACACATCTCAGGAGGAAGAAAGCTAATGATTTATTTATATCAGCAGAGAAGGAGGATGGTTCAGTGGTTAGGGTGCTAATCTGGGACTAGGGAAACCACTTTGCTGGTCTGCCACAGACTTACTGGCTGTGTCTAGACTGGCATGATTTTGCTAAAATACTTTTAACAGAAATTTTTTTCTGTTAAATGTATTTCTGCAAAAGAGCGTCTAGATTGGCACGGATGCTTTTGCGCAAGAAAGCTCCAATGGCCATTTTAGCCATCAGGCTTGCGCAAAAAATTAAGGTACCTGTCTACATTGGCCCTCTTGCGCAAGTATTCTTGCGCAAGAAGGCTTATCCCTGAGCGGGAGCGTCAAAGTATTTGTGCAAGTAGCACTGAATTCTTACATTGGAACGTCAGTGCTCTTACGCAAATTCAAGCGGCCAGTGTAGACAGCGGGCAAGTTTTTGTGCAAAAGCCGCTGCTTTTGCGCAAAATCTTGCCAGTCTAGACGCACCCACTGTGTATTCTTGTGCACTTTGGTTAGTTTATGTGACTCAGTTCCACATCTCACAGGGGTGTTGTGAAGAGAAATGCATTTAAAAGATGTGAGGCTCTGAGAGGGCCATATAAGTACCTCATTTGGAGGCATTAAAGTATTTCATAGCCAGGGGTAGATGACCGTTTTGCGGGGCCCCAGGCAGCATAATTCCGCAGGGCCCCCCTTTGCCACGGCGCATGTGCAGTGACGCCATGCGCAGCGACGCCACGGCACATTCGCGGGGCTTTCTGAAGCGCGGGGCCCAGGGCGGCCGCCCCATTCGCCCTGCCCTATATCCGCCCCTGTTCATAGCAATAATTTCAGTTTGTCCTGAACTTTCATTTGTATCATGTATTTCTCTAATGTTGTCCTTCAGAGTCAGTGGTTGCATCGACCATTTTGCATCTTCAGAAAAGGCAGTGTATGAATGTGTTAGAAATATTATCTCGACGCTAAACTATGTGTTCTATGGAGGTCTCCCTAATAAGTCTTCCTGAAATCCAACACATGCTACTACCCAATGCCAGCACTGCAGGCAGTTAACGTCTTGCACACGTACAGCCAGAGAGCTACCACTGAAACTTCTCTCCCTTGAGAACATTGTGAGACTGCCTCAGAGCCAGAACACTTGACTCCACCTCAGCAGCCCTCTCCTTTGGCCATGTCTGAGAAGGCTGCTCCCTCAGGCTGCTCCAGCACCAGGGACTCTTCCTCCCACCATTCTGGGAAAAGATCCCACTCTTCAAGTAAAGGTGATTCCCCTTAAAAAAAAATGGAGCCAAATACTTAAGATACCCCCTGCACTGACCTCTACTAAGGTACCAGACAGGGAGGTCCTGGGACTGTCAGACACCAATGGCTCCCGAGGGTCCAAGGACCTTACTAAGATGGGCTCCAAGGCACCTGAGAAGCCTAAGTCGGCTCCGCCAGCATCATCCAACTCGAACTTAGTGCCGACAGAGGCAAAAGCCAAGTCAGCGCCCTCAATGTACCACCAGTGCTGAAGAAACTGAGGTGCCGCTTGGTGCCACTGGCACCTATGCTGCCCCTAGCATTGAAGAGGCACAAGAATGCAGCACAAGCGACCCCGCACATGGCAGCATCGGCACCGCAAGTAGCATCTGTGCACTGCAGCTTTTCACTTTGACAGAAGAGCTAAGAGTAACATCCGTGCTGACAACCCCATTATTCGGTGCCAA